ATGATCGAGGGAGAATCCAAGGAATTTGCGGTGGTCCTGTCTGATAGTGATATGGAAGTAAGCATCGCTCAGGTCCATGACAACAAACCAGTCATCTCTTTGAAGAAGAGGAAGAATACGTTCTAAAGTCACCATGCGAAAATGCCTCTGATAAAGTGGATTAGGTCTCAGAGGTCAAGAATGGGTCGGAGACCTCTGTCTCTTTTGGGAACAAGGAAGTAACAGGAGAAGAACCCTGGATCGTCATCTTGTGGGATGACCACTGAAATGGCGCCCTTTGATAGGAGCGATCGAATCTCTTGTTCCAGGGCGTTTGATGGTCCAGTTAGAACTACCCCTGGTGGTGGGAGGGAAACAAACTCTATTGCATAAATGGTGGCTATTACAGACAGGACCCACGAATCTGTGGTGATGAATGCCCAAGATGGAAAATGAGCTGCTAGGCGAGTGGTGGTGAATACTGGAAGATGGAGTGAGTGGATCTGAGCAATAGAGGCATCAAAGATTCTGTGTGATTTTTTTTTATCAGATTGTCTGAAGGATTGTCAAAGTCATTGTTGCTGAGTATACTGTCGAGTTTGGAACGTAGAAAATGACTGAGATAGGTATCATTGTTTCTCTGGAAAAGATTTGTATTGATGCAAAGGATACAGGCGGCACCACTGATATCTTTGGAGCCTGTAATATGGCTGAGTGTTGTACGAACGAGCTGTATTTCTCATCTTTTGTAGGTTATACAAAATTTCATCTGTTTTGAAGTTGGGTTGTTGGGATGTGACCACTATGGTACCCGCAGCTGAGGTGTGTGTGTCTATGTAGATAGCATAGCAAGCAAGTGTAGAAATGCAAATTTAGAAAGCAAGCAAGTGTGCAGATTAAAGCTATATATATATATATGCGCCTAACCGTAGCCATCTTGCCTTCTGTAACACCTTTGCTGCATAATTAGATTTTTGCTTACTAAGACAAGAATAGATAAAGAAGGGAAGCTGTCTGCATTCCATTGCTTGTAAGTAACTGGTCTAATGAAAAGTCTGTCCTTGGGAAGCAGGCCCGTTAGACATGGAGAAATGATTTACTGCTCAAAACTGGGTTCATGCAAGAATGTGTACCAATTATAGAAACCCCTCCCATTTCTCCACCTCCTCCCAATCCCCCTGGCCCCTCTTTCATGTTATGCGTTATAAAAATGTATACTTTTGTATCAGGGGTGCGCTTCTCCTCTGCATGTTTTCTGCATTTGAAGTTTGTGCCTATTTGCTTGCTTTCAGCTGAAAATAAACAAATATATATTGGATCTCTCTGTCGTTGGCTGATTGATTAACATGTTAGAGACAGGCAAAAACCCAGGAATTAGTCCTGGACACCCTTCACTATAATTTTGCTTTATTTGGATCGATCAGTCGATCTAGCTACCTACCTACTGCTTTTGCTTCCCCAGCTCACTAGTACCAAACCTTTTCTACAAACAACTGAGAAACTCTGAAATGAAAAGCAAATGAAAGGAGGGCATATTTAGTGCTCTGCTTCTGAGGCCTGTATTTCTCTAGCACAACTGGCCGTCTTTTGCAGCACACTGAGAGCCCTGTCCCGCCTTGCCCTCCTGCCTCCGTGTATGTGCATCTCTGCACGTGTGGCTGCCCCCTGACACTTCCCAATGCCTCTTGCTAGGAATGCAAGGCCTGGGTTGCTGGGGTTGGGCGGGCTATTGTTCTTGGCCTTGTTCTCTCAGGCACATCTTTCCTTTGGACTCCCTCTCTTAGCTTTCATCATTTCCTTTCTGCAGGCCCATCTGTTTCTTTCCTTCTCCCATTTCTATTGTACTCCCAGGGTGGAGGACGTCTCTCAGGGCTTGCCTAATATAAACCCTGTCATCCCTTGTGTCCTTGAACTTGGCTTGATATCCCTGAGTCACACCTCCTGCCATTGTCTGCCATGCCCTTTGGTCCTTCTCAGGCTGGGAACTTCCTTCCATTGAAGACCCAAGATTAAGAGTTTTTACTGTGTCTGGCGCTACCACTCTCTTTGAAGCAAGGAGGCTTCTGTTTATTTCTCCTCAAGCTGCGGGTAAAAGCTCTCAGCTACTTGCTTTTCAAAGAAAGATGGATTGGCTTCGTTTCATGGGGAAGGTGTCAGGTTGGGGGCTGGCTATTATCACTTCTGGCACTGAATCTGAAGCAAAATACTTTGGACAGATTTGGTCCAATTGCAGGCTACACGAATTAGCCTGCAGTCTCCTTCTGTCCTCTGTCTGATTTAAGCTTGCCTTTCACACTAAAAACATTGCCTCTCTTTCCAGTTACTTTTTGCTGTTTTTAAAATTACCACCTGCCTGCAATCCATACAGTCCAGAGCTTGGAAAAGTTATTTTTGCAGTGTAACCTGCAGAATCCCTCAGCCATTGCTGACAGAAATATTTGGGAGATTGCAGCCCCAAATAGTAACTTATCCAAATTGTGCTAAATTCTGCCAAGAAATATACAATTAGCAGCTCCTTTGTAATAAAACCCATAGCATTATATTGCATTTCACTTTTTCTTTTACCAACCCAGACTCTGATAAGCCTGGTTGTCAATTTTTTCATTTTTCATCTGGACAGAAATCCTGTGCCTTCAACAGTCGTGACAAGTTGGAGGTCAATAGCTGTATCTCATCTTCTTACTATACAGTATCTCTGTGCCACAAAAGATGTTACTTTAATAGAATTACAGTACTGCCAGGTTGTACCTTCTGGAGGGAAATGTCAGGGGCCTTCTGTCAAACAAGACCTTGGCAATGTGCTCCCTCCTTGTCAGAGTGCTCCCTCCCAAAGGAAAAAGACACAGTCTTCCTAGGATTAAAAGGAGATGGGGGAGCACCTTATGATGCAGCACTGAAGATGGCATGGGAAACCTTGTTTAGGATTAAGAATGGAGTGGGATTTGAAGGAGTACGTAGTTTAATGACATCCTTTTGTTTGGCAATTTCTGGTGTTGTTGGGATGAAGTGTTTGCATCAGGCACTGGCAAGCCCTGTAAGTCAAACTGTCAATGATAGATATAGAATGCAACCCAACTCTAGGACACAGTTTAGAAAGTTACTTTTAAGAAGATGGATTATAACGACAGGCTAACACTAAACAAAACTGGATGACCACCCTAGAAACAAATATAGACTATGCTGGCTGTGGAGGATTCTGGGAGATATGGTCTCACAAAATAGCATTTCCAAGCTCTGGGTAAAATGATACTTGCAATCTTAGCTACACCTCTCCCAGCTGTAATGGAACTTAAGATGCCATGTCATAACACATTTACTTGTTATATGACCAGAAATGACCTTCTAGAATCACAGGTCAAGGTGTTTCTTGCCATCCGTTTGTATTTTAAGCAATGCCATCAGGGACCAAATACCTGTGATTTGCTGTAAATAAAACACACATTCTTTCCCTACAGAAAACAAATTCTTAGACTTCAAAGGTGTTCTTAAATTAAATAAAATACAACCTTAAAAAGAATTCACAAAACAGCATTGATGTGGAATTGATCATGGAGACTATTGTCTGGGATATGTCTGTGATGCTCTGACAGCCAGCTTGTGTACAAGAGGCACTTGTACAAAATCAACAGGCACCTGGTTTGAAATGATGGTGGGATTCTGTTTTTCTCCCAATTACAAAAGATTGCCATTTTCAAAGGAAAAAGAAAATTAAAAATAAGGAAAAGACAGAAACAAAAAGGAAAAGAAAATCCCCAAAGTGTTTAATGGAAAATATATGGTTCATGACAAAATGTGTACCCAAACAATACATCTGGCTGGGTTCATCTGAAACAGCTCCAGGAGTTCATCTGCAAGTTAATCAAGATAAGAACAGCACAGATGAGCTGAACAAAAGGATTCTGATTTACTGCTTGGTGTCTTAATGAACACTGATCAGAACAAATGCAAATATTTAAATGCCTGAAGTAGTCTGAAAGGATTACCTCTCAGCAGAGGTCATAGGATGAAGTCCTAGGATTAGTGGACCTAACAAAAGGTAAGGTGAAGGTTGATGGCAGACCTCTAGGTTAGACAAACTGTTCATATCTGCTTTATTTTTGCCCTAGAACATGGATTTTTTAAAACTGCTTTTTATTGCATATTTAAACTGTCCACTACCTGCTTGAGAGCATAAAATGTAAAAATGAGCATAAAAATGTAACAACAAAGCGAATAATACAATTGCAGTTCTTGAAGAAGCGGTTCCTAATTGTATTTTTTTACTTTTGTTTCTTTATGATGTTGAAATCATGCTGGTTATGATGTTTAAAGCAAATTACTTTTTAAAATTGTTTTACAATATTTTTAGTGGTTGTTTTAAAAAGTTAATATGTTTAGTTTAGTGTTAATATTGTAACATTGTGTTTTTATCCATCTCTGGTTTAAACCATTTTGTAAGTCAATTTATCCTGCACTAGAAGAAGGGTGAGAAATAAATTATTAACAAATGGCAGTGGACTAAGATAAAACCAACCACACAGAATAAATAATTACAAAGCAAATGAAAACAACCATGTTTCCCTGAAAATAACACCGGATCTTATAATAATTTTTGCTCCAAAAACAAATTAGGGCTTATTTTCAGGGGATGTTTTATTTTTTTCATGTACAACAATCTACATGTATTCAAATACCGTCATGCCATCTTCTTCTGGTTGCTGCACAATGGTGGAGGGCGGAGTTTCACTTAACTGGGGCTTATTTTTGGGGGTAGGGCTTATATTACGAGCATCCTGAAAAATCATACTAGGGCTTATTTTCAGGTTAGGATTTACTTTTGGGAAACAGGGAATATGCAGGATCAATATGCAAACATGGAAAAACTACAGCATTCTTCAGATTGCCTAGAAGAATGAAAAGAAAGGCCATATTACCGGTGGCCAGGTGAATCTTTCCAGGGAGGATATTCCACAAATTACTGTAGCTATGTTTGGCTCTGTGGCTCAGTCCTAAAAAGTAAGAGACACAGTGACCACTCTTACCTTGGTATGAGAGGCGGAGGTGGGGAATCCACTGGCTCCAGGAAGCACTGTTCCCAACCATCAGCAAAACAAACCAAGCCACTAGGGCTATGTTGGTGGTGAAGCAGCAGCACATGCAGAAAGTCCAGGTGACCATCCCCTCTCCAGAGCCAAAACCTCCAGCATCAATTTTTAAAAAATTACAGACACATGTTTCTTTTCTTGAAGAAAATCACCTTCCACCTTGAAGAATAAACAAACAAAGCCAAAAGTAGAGAAGAATTCTTATTATATTTGTATTTTCTAGGAAATCTGGCAGCCCAGTTGTCATTTGACCTCCTCCATCACTACATGAACCTGACTGGATAGGAACAGCTATTTTCTGTTCTAGAATTATGTGGTAGCTAACAGGATATATGAAGTATGGTGTGAAGAAACTGAGAAGCTGGGAAATTGCATCCAATCAGGCCTGTGTATGTATGGGAAGATGATTTCCAGCTGTAACAGTAAAGATTTTGCCCAGCAACCAACATAAGAAGAGCTGCCCCTTATCATGTTGGGCCGGTGTGCTGGGAACTAGGATTCCTGAAGACATTTTGTAGCCAAGACCTTTAACTGCCCTCCTGGGTTCACACATACTTGGGTAAACAAAGGGTAGTGTCGCAGAGTGGTTAGATCAGGATCCATGCATTCTGGCACAATGGAATAATCAGGTCAGATAATAAAACTACGGTACTATTCCTTTAAGCATATTTCTTATACTTGTGCTTTTAAAACAGAGGTTTGTTCTGCTGTTGCATACAGTTTCTACATATTTCAGCTTCCTTCTTTGGGACTCTTCCCTCTTTCTGAGCCGTAACAAGCTGCTAAGCTTGCAACACAGAATTTCTTGCTAGAGGTTAGAACCTACTTGTCCTGGGCAGACAGTGTGCACATTTATTTGGAAGTAAGGATCTAGCTAAATGTTGACAGGGGTCAATCAACCGCAGTACAGTTTATATTGTAAAATGGGAGCTGAGACTAAATGAGAAGAGACTAGTGGCAGGTGAAAGAGGAGTGCTGAGCTCCTACCTCGGATCCTGCAGTAATGTTGCAGTCAGAACTTATTTCTCATCACAGGAATGAGGAGGCAAGTAAGCTGTGGAGGGAGGGATCTTGTGTGTGGGTTTAGTTCTTATTATGCACATTCAATTTCTTCTTAATTGCTTAACATGCTTCCATCACATCGGGATCTTGTGTGTGGGTTTAGTTCTTATTCTGCACATGGAATTTCTTCTAATTGCTTAACATGCTTCCATCACATTTTGTTTGTGTTCACTGCCTAGGATGCTTTCAGCACACTTGCAATTCTGAATTGAAGTGGAACTGCTTCCACACAGGCATGCATACAGTTCTGCAGCCTTACAGCTCCATTTATATATCAAGATGGTTGCTAGTGCAGAAACTGTGATATTCATATAAAACTTTAGTTCGATTGAACCAATGCTGGAGTGACTCCAAGCGGAAGCAGATTCAGGTAGTTGGTCTCTCTGAGAAAAGAAGATTCAGCATAAACAAGGAAGCTATGAAAAGAGACTAAGTAAACAGGAAGGACAGGTACAAACATGGTATTTCCAAGCCTTCTGTACCCCTGAGCACTGTTATGATCTCCACATCATTCAATATAAACATTTATTATGAGAGCATGCATGAATCTGGCTCCAGAACAGGGAAGAAACACACCAAAATTCCCCAGTCAAGTCTTCCCAATTGTTTTGTAATGACAACATTCCTATTTTGATGGTATTAAACTTGGAGTATTTTTCAATGCTCAAAATCTGTTTGTACCAAGTGAAAATAAACAAATGTAATGTAAATTGTTGGACATTTTCACAGATTAAATTCTATTTCTTAGAGAAATGGGATGAACACTGGCCACTAACTGAAAAAAATAAAACCTACTTTATAATTCAAAAATCATTTTTTGTAAAAAGAACCACAAGCAGTGGCAATTTTGTTAAATCCTGCAAGTTTTATTTATTTCCTAATACATTCTGTTACATGAGAAATTATATAACTGCATTTAATCCAATTTAAAACATTAGCTGAAATCCTGTTGATTTGCTCACATGCAGAATGCAAAGGGTTAACTTTCAGTTAATTTGAGCTAGCAATTAACAAGTTGCCACTGGGATTCTTGGGATGTGCGCATTGCTGGCTTGGAGTGTGATTGAGATTGAGCCTTCTGCTCATATATATCCAGCCTTAGCATTATAATATCATTCTCCAACACCAGCACAACATCAGTATTTTATGTTTGTGCTCTGACACAGAGGAGCAATGTTTATTCATCCTACTATCTACAGCAATGATGCAACATTTCTCAGATTCTGAATCTTGTAGCAAGCTGTGGGAAGAATTAAATCATTATTATTGTGGAAAGTAGTGCCCAGAATGTTAATGGCATGGTTGTGTGACTGGAACATGACCAGACATGCAACTGGTAATCCAGCACCTCATTAATTAGCTGCTGTTCACCACTGCAATTTACACAATTGTACTTACTTGGTAGTAAAATGCCAGTAGGATTATGGCCACTATTTTCTGGAATTACTGCAATTTCACTTATTTCAGAATAAAATCCCAATAGGATTATTGCCAATGTTACTCTATCTTTTCTCACAATAAATGCATATCACTTTGAAATAAGGTAAGCATGCATATGTGTATACAGTATTTAAATATTTATGTTACACATTCCCAGGATATATGTGCAACTGCTTGCTGTTTTGCAGAATTCATCTTAAAGATATGGAATCAAACTCAAATCTGGAGGCGCTGGCTCGCTACTGATCAAAATATAAACAAATGAAAAATGCATTCATGTCAGCCCATTGGAAGGAACTAGGGCAGGCTGTACTGGAAAGAAAAGAGAACATTCTGGAGTGTGGTCTCAGCCACGGATATAGGTCCCAATCCTGCACCAAATACCTGCATCATGGCAAATGTATGGTGCCACCACTTTCGAACTATTTTCAATAGCAATGAAGCTATTGGGTGAAAAAAAGGAGAACCCCCAAGACCCTACTAATTTCCACACCCGAATGGCCCCCAGTATCAAAACAGGAAGTGTGCAAACCTACTGATGCTCTAGCAACAGACAAAGCACCTGGCAAGGACATGATTCCGCAAGAAGAATAAGAACAACCCAGAGGAATAAGAACAACCCAGAATAGTGGGCCCTAGTTCTAGCACAACTCTTCTCTCACATTAATGCTACTGGAATTTTCCCAGAGGGGTGGAGGCAGAGCCTAATTTTCCAAATTTATAAAAAAGGCGATAAATCCATCCCCCAGAACCATCACCAAATCAGCTTACTGGATATCAGTTGCAAGCTCTATACCCGCTTTCTTTTCCAGAAGCTGGCTAAATGGATAGAGGAAAATAACATCCTTCACCAGAAACAAGCAGGTTTTGGGAAGGGCCAGTTCCTTCACCAGAAACAAGCAGGTTTTGGGAGGGGCCAGTGCACAGTAGATCAAATCTACCTGCTACATCATGTTGTACACAAATATACCATCAGGCCATTCAAATGGCTATTCACAGCTTTTACTGACTTTTCCTCTGCATTTGACACAATTACCAGAAATCACCTGTGGGATAAGCTCGCAGAGACTAGTGCTGATAAGAGACTGCTTTCCCTAATACAGGTACAGGAACTATACTCCAACACAGCGTTGAGCGTAAGGATTAGCACAGATGGAAGGTTGACAGAAGAAATTCATACTAACAGAGGGGTAAAACAAGGGTGCTTACTTGCACCCCTACTCTTTAACTTTTATATTAATAATATGGTAACAGCTTTAAAACATCCAGACCATTTGCCCCCTCAATCGGAAATTATAAGATTGCAAGCCTTATATACGCTGATGACATTGTATTACTATCTATGAACAAAAAGGGACTGAACAGAAGCTTAAATAAGCTCCAGGATTTCAGCCACCTAGAGCAACTAAAAATAAATTACCCAAAATCTAAAGTGATGATTTTTGGAAAGCATTCCCCCAGTTCAAATCTTACTAAAATCTAAATCCCTCTCCACAGTCATTTTTGTTTTTTTCTGGGGTTAAAAGAATGTTGAGGGACTGGATCTACAAATTGGATAATGACCAGAACTTAGCCTTAATACTGTAGACTCGTCAAATGTCTCTCACTGGTACCATCTGCTGAAAACAAACCAGTCAAGGGCGCATTCACAGAACTTCATTTTCACACCATGCCAACTGCTGTCATAGATGGCAGGTATATGAATGTCCCTAAGCATCTAAGGCTGTGTGAGATAGAGGATGTTGTTCACTATTTACTCAACTATTAGCTCTATCAAAACCTTGAAAAAAATTCCTGGGAAACATTTTGGCTGCCCTACAGGAGGAAAGTCATCAGATAAAGGTGGGCAGGTTACTTTCAGATTGTGACCCATACAGTATGTTACATACAGAATAGCGCTGTTTCCAAAAGTGGCCAGAAATATCCACACTAATTTCCTGAGAGCCATTGCAATCAATTGTGCAGGGGACTCGCAGATATAAAGGGGCACCCACACATGTTCCCTGATTCTCTCTCCCCCCCCTTTAAAATCTTTCCTCCTGTGGATAGGCCTTTTATTATATTATATGTCTGTGATTTTATCATGATTTTACTTGATCATATTTGTATTTCAATCAATTGTGATGGGTTTTAGACAATACAATAAACTTAAACTTGATTACAGAATGATAAAAGATATGGAACCAATTTTGTTTTGGTTGAACACCTAAGGAGACAATGCGAAATATGTGATTGTATTTTCCAGTACAAACAAGCAAATATGAATAGCAGTTATAAGGATCAGGATTTGTCATCACAGTGCATAAGTCCTTCAAACAGAACAGTGTCCTAGTACATGTATCAGATAAACGTAAGAAAACTGGAAGAATTGAAAAATTTGGAAAGTTTTTTTTTAGAAGGAGACAGAAATTCAGGCAAAAAGAAAGGAAATAGAAAATTTAGGGATAAAGTCCAGAGGAATGAAACTAGTTTTTATGGGGGGGGGGATTAAAACACCTTTTCTGGGTGATTTCTTTTCCTTTGTACTAGGGTGGAGTTCAAGTGGCAAGAACATTTTCAGTTGGAAGCTTCCAATGACAGTGCTAATCTACTTGGAAAAGATATGACAACTCAAAATCCAGCACAGAACTCTTTTTAAAAAGCTAATGCTCAGCGTT